GTTGTGTGTAACTATGTTTTATGTTTAGGATTAAATAGCCATCCAGACTTATCACACTATTATAGACTATGTAAACATAGTTACACACAACAGCACATTGTTAGAATTAAATAGCCATCCAGACTTATCACACTATTATAGACTCAATGTGTTGTTGTGTGTAACTATGTTTATGTAGTCTATAATAATGTGATAGGTCTAGATGGCTATTTAATTCTAACAATGTGCTGTTGTGTGTAACTATGTTTACATAGTCTATAATAGTGTGATAAGTCTAGATGGCTATTTAATTCTAACAATGTGCTGTTGTGTGTAACTATGTTTACATAGTCTATAATAGTGTGATAAGTCTGGATGGCTATTTAATCCTAACAATGTGCTGTTGTGTGTAACTATGTTTACATAGTCTATAATAGTGTGATAAGTCTGGATGGCAAGTTAATCCTAACAATGTGCTGTTGTGTGTAACTATGTTTATGTAGTCTATAATAGTGTGATAAGTCTGGATGGTTATTTAATTCTAACAATGTGCTGTTGTGTTATTTAACCCAACACGATAGGGTGGCATAGTTGTAGTAACCATTTCTTTTTTTTTTTGAGATATTTAAAATTTGACAAAACAGTAAAATAATAAAACAAAGTAAAAACAACCTCTTTCTGCATTTCCAGGTTTTCTGTACGAAGATGGTGTATGTCTGCAACCTTCAACTCGAGCACAGTTTGTAGACTTTCTACTTCTTTCTGAAGATTACTTTTTTGAGCAAGAACCCACTGCAAAGAAAATGTATAACTTTTATTCTAACACGTATAACCGGTAGTATATTAGATAATGTAGTGTTACTTTTCACAGATGTCTTTTTGTTTTTCCATGAGTTAGCAGAGTGGCCAAACGGTTAGCTACTGTGATTCCAAAATTCTATGGTTTGCATCTCGTTGCTACAAAATCACGTTTTTTGGTGCATTATAAACCTGATGGTTATATGCTCGTATTCTATTAGTGTAGCCGAACAGTTGATGGTAAGTTGTTGCTGACTGGTTTCTTTCCTTCTAGTCTATCAGTTAAAAGTTAGGGATGGCTGGAGCAGATAGCTCTTGTGTAGTTTTCATAACAAACAAACATTGTTCTGCTTGGGAACGAAACATTGTGACCTCTGCCCTCATATCTTTTGTATGTTAATAACCTTAAACTATGGATGATAACATTATGTTGTTAATTTTACCCTTCACATTAGTGCATTTTTGTTTTTTGCTTAAAACACAATAAAACTCGCTAATGATATTAAAGAAGATTTAAGAAGTATTCCACATCTTGAACAGTTGATAGATGGAAATGAGATTGAACAAGATGACTACATTAATTCTGAGCTGGTTAAGAAAAAATTGGGAATTTTAAAAAACAATAAGGCTCCTGGGCCAGATAATATTTCCCCAAGGGTTTTGAAGGTTGTTAAAAGTTGTATATGTGAGCCACTTACTACTATTTTTTTGTCAGTCCTTGAATAGTGGGCAGGTACCAGAGGATTTAAAGTTAACTAATGTAACTCCTCTTTTCAAGGGGGGTGATAAAAATTGTCTCTGTAATTATAGACCCATTAATCTTATATCAGTTGTGGGAAAAGTTTTGGAAAGTCTGATTAAAGATGCTTTGCAAATTCATTTCACAAAGTTTAGAATTTTATTGGATATTCAACATGGTTTCACTAAGGGAAATTCTTGACTTACACAACTTTTGACATTCTTTGAAAGGTTACTGCTTATGTCCATGAGGGTAAGGGTGTATATTTGGTGTATCTGGATTTTCAGAAAGCATTTGACAAGG